CCTGTGTAGGCGGATCGGCAGGGGTGCGCTGAAGAAGTAGAGGGGACAAGGGAACAACCCTTGGTTAGGTCTCGGTGGTAAACTGTTCTCTCGTTTCAAAAAATGTTATTTTCATTACTCATAAAATAATATACTATTAGCACATTCTTAAAATAGTAGTTTGTGCAACAAAAGTGGATATGCTGGCTATATCACCCGAAGACGAAGTGTGCCCACGACGCCGTAGATGGAGTACTCAATCATCTGAGTGCGATACTGACAATCCACTCGAGTTTTACAGTATAATTTTTTTACGGCCCACTAACGAAAATCTACAAAATATTATAAATTGATTTAGAGGTTATTAAGATAAAATAACTATTGTAAAAATAATTTGACCCTTAGTAATTTATAAAATAAAATGAAGAGAATAAACTTGAAGAGAAAAAATATTTTATTTAATTATTCTTCTTCCTGAACTTGAACTCAGGACATTTTGAATGGGAACTCAGTACTTTATATCTGTGTTAACGAAATAATAATATATTTTGTAATACTGATAATTGAAATTGGTTTCAGATAATTTTATTAAAATTTACAATTTTTTTTCTAAATATAGAAAAATATCTTGTGGAATTCTTCAGAATAGTTACTCATTTTTCATTATATTTAATTTCAATAACTAAAAATATACTGACCACTAGTTTGACAGAATTATCAATTATTTAAAATTTAAAAAAATAATAGACCGGTCATCAAATATGAACTGTGATTGGTGAATTTCATATCTGTACGTTGTCCTTATAGAATGGATATGAAATTATATATATTCAGCAGAACTCAATGACCTACTTTTTCGTTCTCTTGTTTGTGTAGATGATATCAATGTGGGTGTAGAAAAAAAGGGTTTCTTAATACATGTGACCAATTAAGAATAAAAAATAAAAATAATGGGAAAAACTCAAAAAACCATGTCATTGAAACGTCAAGCGATCATTTCCCTCCGGAAAACAACTACTCCTATACAATGAGTAGTTCATCTATTTTTCTCAAATAGGGTATTCCGTAAGAGGAAGAAAACTATGTTATTTAATAAATAAATAATAAATAAATAGATAATAATATAATACCCAAGCAGCAAGGTGTCGTCATTATGACGTGATTTTTTGAGTTTACTCGTCAGAAACGTCACTATCCCAATTAATGACGTTACTTTGACGTCGTTTTTATTACGTTAATTAGACTCGTCATTATGACGTAATTTTTTAGTATTCATTTATCCGAAATACAATATCCTAATCAGTAACGTGTATTTGACGTCGCATTGATGACATAGAATAGACGTCACTTAGAATTCGTCATAATTGTCAGTATATTTTTTAGTTATTGAGATTAAAACATATACATTAAAATGGTTTACTCTTGTGTAGAATCAATAAATAATAGCATTTCTTTTTTTATTTCGTCATTAATTATAAATAATTTGTTAATTTAAATAAAACTATCAACAAAAATAAAAGAATAGGTGGACTGGTGGTTAGCGTTCTTGCCTTCCATGCGAAGGATTTGAGTTCGATTTTCGGATGGGGAAAAACTAAATAATTTTTTTTTATTTATTTTATTTTAAAAATTAATAAAAGAAATAAATTATTTTAAAATTAGTTATTTTGTCTCAATAACTTAAAATATATTTTTTATTTGTAAAATTTCGTCTTCGTGCGATATGGCCATCATATCCACTCTTGTTGCACAAACTACTATTATTTGATATTTAAAAATACAGAAATGTTGAATTGATGAAAAACTAATAATTGTTAGTCAATAAAAAATGTATTGGATTGCCAATGTTTTTAAAAAAATTCCGAGTCCAACAAGGGTATGACAATTTTATTAAAAGTGATTTAAAAACCTGCTAATTGGATATTAAAAAATTGAGAAATGTCAAACTGATCAAAAACTAATTGTAAGTCATTAAGAAATTTAATTCTGAGAATTTTCCTTTTTTTTAATCGTAGGTCAATGGAGTAGCTAAAACTAATTATATGTGTTTATTTGTAATAAAAAAAAATGATCAAACATCGAAATTATAACAAAATAATTATAAGGAATGTATTTTAAGAATCGTCTATTTTTTAATAAACACTATTATTGCAGTTTTAGCATTAGACTATACGATATATTTTTTATTAGACAATCCTCAGAATACCATTCTAAGAGATTTGCAGTTATTTTGGCATTATTTCGATGTTTTCAAATTTTTTATTATAAATAAACACATCTAAATCCATTATTATTATTATTGCAGTTTTTGTCACCCCATTGAACTAAGATTTTTTTGAAAATGGGCAATCCTCAGAATTCATTTTTTAGTGCTATATAATTAGTTTTTCATCAATTTGACATTTGCCCATCTTTTAATTTTCAATAAAAAATCTAAATCAATTTTAGTGAAAATGCCATGCCTTAGAGATTTACAGTTACTTTGGTTTTATTTCAATATTTACAAATAAACACATACGTAAATTGTGCCCCCTTTCTAAATGGAAGAAGATAGAGACATGAAACAAAAATGAGGTGAGAAATATTACATTTTTATTATAACGAGATGCACTTTACTTGAGACGTAAGATAGATAGATACATTTTTTAATGGAAAGTAGAGTCATGTGATATCTGATTTGAAAGATATTTTTAATATTTTTACGTCTATGCAAACAGTTTTAGGTTTTTTTATGGGTTTTTTTTATGTTTTTACAGAAACGTTTTTTTTTTTTTTTTATTTATAGAAACTTTCAAATAATATTTAAATATTATTTAACACATTTACTGACATTTGTTATTCTTAATTTATTTATTTTAGTAAATATTGTGTTTATGTAATTTGTAAAAAGCATTTTCTTAGTAATAAACAAAAATACGAGGGTTATCAAGAATAGTAACGTACTTCATTAATTTATATAATTAAATTTGTGTAAAAACATAAAAACCCAATAAAACTGTCTGCATGGACATAAAGATAATAAAAATATATTTTAAATAAGGTATCGCATGACCCTACTTTCCATTAGAAAATACTAACGCCCTTTATCTTACTTTTTAAGTAAAATGCTTTTCGTTATAATAAAAATATCGTAATATCTCTCTTATTTCACCTCGTTTTTGTTTCATGTCTCTATTTTCTTTTGTTAAGAGTGGTGGCACAATTTAAGAACTCGCTCTATAAAAGCATTATTATCGCAGTTTTAGCCACCTCAATTGTCAATTGACATACCATTTAAAAAAGTGCAATCTTTTTATTTATTTTTTTTTTCGAAGTACGGTATTTCCATGCATATTGGAAAAACTAAAAAATTAGCAAATATGGGCAAACAAATGATTACCTAATGAAGTTATCTTTTTTTTATTATTTGTGAATATTTTTTTTATCTGATTGTAAGAACACGATGGACAATCCTCCATTCCCATTTTTTCAATGTTGTGGGCAAACGAAATCCTATAATTCTATAGAATAATCAAAAATAAAAAAGTAACTGGTAACTAACTGGTCGATTTATTTACCGTAATAACCACAGGACTATCTTCTGTATAGAATGCACATGCTCTGGGTATAACATTAGAAGAAAAAATGTTTTCACACTACTAGTGCCCAAATTTGTCCGGAAATTTTCTCAAAATATTCGGGAGTGATTAAAAATGTCCAGACAATAATTTATGCACGTGTGGTGCACGGTAAGAAAATTTTACACCGAAATATCAAAATTTCAAAACTTGACAGACATGCATTAAAACAACTAGAATCAAATCAAACTTAAAATAAATATAGTGTATTTCTATCTAGTTATAACTGGCATTAAATTAAATATTAACCATTGAAATGGCTGAATTTTTTAATAACACCGTCGCGTCGTAATAGCATGTGCATGAAATAGCTTCTCAAATGTCAAAGAATTTCCAGTGTAATTTCGTTCAGGGTACCCACCAAGAGAAAATGTTTCGAAAATGTTTCTGGTTACCATGGAAATATTTTAAAATAACAGCATTTATCTATTTATCAAATAGAGGTGTAAACATTTCTACAGAATTATCGACCCCATAAATAAAATAATCTCTACGAAAAGTATGGAACTTGCAATTCAGCAGATTATTATTTCAGTTAGATCTTGAGGGTTTAGTAAAATTAATCGAACATTTCCGTAGTACTTTAAATATCTGCACTGAAGGCAGAAATGGTCGTTTAAAAAAATTAGCTATCATTCCATCAAAAACTTGAAAAAAACATACCATCTCAATGTCTAAAATATTAGCAAATTTCCCATTATTCTGCTCATATCAATTGCAACACATAAAAAATTTTTTTCTGCCATCTAAAAGATTCTAAATAAGTTAAGAATAAGCGTTAAACAAGACGGATATTCATATAAAAAGACGTAGAGGTAATTTAGGCAGACACTTTTAATAAAGACACAATTATGACTACAAAATTATTAAAGTGGCAATTTCAAGTGCAACGTGTTAAATGTCCTTTTCTGCCATTTTAAGGATTTTAAATTGGTTGAGAACGACCATAACACAAGAGAGATATTCAGATTTGTCATAGAGACGTAGAGACAATTAAAAAAAATACAAAAAATAGCTTATAGAAAACTGTTATATGTCTGTTTTTTAATTGATATTAAAAATGTTTAATTTTTCTTTCATGTTTTTGTTTGTCATTAGGTACTATTAGTTAATTTAAATTTTCACAAATTTAATTTATTGTAATTAAAGACAATTCTTGTTAGCAACATATTTAGTCCTTCATTTTCATTACCCCTCACTATTTTATTTAACAAATATAATATTGATTATTTTCCTTTTACATGAGAGAGGATCTTGCCACTACCTTCCCCAAGCACTGATTGTTATTCCTCTGCTTGAAGGTAAATTTTGGCCGAAGCCAAAATCCTATATCAAGCATATATTTGAACTTCATTATAACACGTAAATTTAATGCATTTAATAAATTTAAAATAAAATACATACCGTTATTATCTGCAATTGTTCTACCAGTTGGAGGAGTATGTGCTGGAGTATGACCATGGTGTTCATGTGAATGAGGTAAATTTCCGTAAATAGCATTAAAATCTTCCGCAGAAGAACCACTGGTACTATTGCACTTTCTAGAACTACCCGTCTTGTCTATATTATTGCTGACACCACTCAGATGTCCATGATGGTCGTCGAGTAAACCACTAACTCCTAAAAGATTTCCGACACCAACAAGATTGGGCCTTAATTCGTCCATCATTGTTTTGGATTGAGGGCACGCATTGAAATTTAACTGTCTACTGAATATTGCGGGAAAAATATTAAACTGTTGATGAGAAAGTTCTTCTGGGGAAGTGTGAACCGAGGGGGCAGGGGATGATCCCAAGGCCCCCAAACAAGATGAGACACCCTTGAAATCCAACTTGAAGCTGATGTTGACTTGTGGTAAAAAAATTTCACTTTTATTAGTCCTCTTCAGACACAAAAGTTCAAACTAGTAAATTCAGTTTCTAATAGAATATTAGAACTAAGTAATAGAAATGTCACTACTTTGTTAATTTAAAACTTCACTAATAACAAATCACTATGAAAGGTGGTAGATATTCCTTTAAACAATGAAGAGCACCTAGAAAAAAAAATTAAATTATAACTGGATTGTATTGTTTTCTTTCTAAAACTAACCAAGTTATGTGGAAATTATGAACACGAAACTTTGACATATTCAATGGTTACTTTTTAATATTGTTAAAGTCAATTAGCCACTGTAATACCAACAAAACATTATAAAATAAAATTAAGCATGTGGCTTGGTTAAAAATAAGGACCCGTCTTTGCAGGAAAAGTTTCAAGGGAATATTTGTCTTCCTATTCCATGATGTTTTCCGATTGTAATAAAAATTGACAATCTATATAGTTAAAAAAGCTTTGTTCGCGGTATGAATCCTAAACCGAATTATTACTAACAGTAACGATTTCGCAGGCGCAGTAGTTAAAAAGTGTCCGCGGAACAAAAAGAACTGAACTATTGGTTCTATTCTGCGTTCGCGGTAAAATTATTATTGGTTTTGAACCGCTTGTCTATACCTGAAACACCGAGATATAATAGGGATTGCGCACGCGGTAAAAATTCAGAATTGATAATGATTCGGGCATGCACACAAAGTATGAATTAGTAATTCTGAATCAGTTCAGGATTGTTACCGCGAACGAAGCTATTGTGTATTTTGTTGTAGCCTAATGTAAGGATATCTTGAGTTGTATATTTTCTAGCTTTGACCATGGACATGACTCATTATCGTGATAACTACACCAGTCTCTGACTACCTGACTACCTCTAGGACCTCAGTATTGCATTCATGCGGTTGATACATTTTTCTTCCCCACATTTTTAACACTTTTTTGCTACTTTTCACACTCTAAGCAAGCGCGTAGCTAGGTTGTTTTCTTAGGGGGGGGGGGGGGGGTAAAACTTCCCACATTATTGGCGAATATGGTACCAATGCAACGTCTAGAGTTCATATGTGTATTTCCAGAAAAAAGAGAGTTTTATAATGAAGTTTTAATTTTTTATATATTTATACAGGGTGTTTCAGAATAAAGTACCGTAATTTTGGGGATTTGTTGATCTTAATCAATTATAAAGAAAAGCTAAATATAATTTTCCTATAAACGTCCCAGTTTTCATTCTACAGGGTGATAAAGTGAATTTCATAAATACATATTTTCTAAATATCTTGCCTTACAGAAAAGACTAACTTAAAAATATGTATATGATAGGTAATCCGTTATTATTAGTTAACACACTATTTCGATAAAAAACCATTACCCATTGGTGTAGAATGAAGGGGTAAAGAAACAATTTTATTCAAAACTTTTTGAACACCCTATATTTCCCACATAACATCAATGTTCTATGAATATACCAAGAACGTTCTGTTTAAGTTCTTATTAGTATATCATTTTAGAATGTTCTTAGAACATACCTAGAATATACTTTAAAAGTATATTCTAGAAAGTATATACTGAGTACGTGCCTTAAAAGTATATTCCAAATAGTATATACTGAGCACGTGCTATAACAGGACATTCTTAGAAGATACTAAAAGTCATATACCCAGCATGTACCTTATATTCTGAGAATGTTCTAAATGCTTGCAGGTAAAAATTAACACCAAATACATGTAAAAACAAGTTTATATATATATATATATTTATAAGATTTTTTCCCAGATGCCGATCTAATAATTAGCTACCAAACGCACTAATGTTGAATGTTTACGCCAAAAAACATTCTTAAACTAAAATAGAAGAAGAATAACATAACCTACAATTCCTACAAATTTTTTTAATCTCGTTTGTTTGTAAGAGGTAAGTAAATTAATAAAAATTTAAGTGCGTCGTATGTTCTATATAAATATAAACATATTTTACTATATTTATAGTTTTTTGGACCTATAAGTGACGTTAGAATACAGGATATCCCAAATATTAATTGCCAGTGTGAATTTATTAATATGGTTGATACTAATGGTGGATTAAAATTAAAATACACTGTTACCAGAATTTCTATGAAAAAAATCCTGTAAGGTCAAATATTGACCTGGAAGAACTAGAAAAGTTAGCTATAGGCGGACGAAAACTACAAAATAGTGGTAAGTAATTAACAAAAATATATTTAAACTTTCAGTAAACATAATCATCTATGTAAAACTCTTGTTTTTGTTAGTGGAATGCCATGTACAATTTTTAATGTTTTATGTTCGACAAAAATATTTAAAATATTCCATTAGCTATGCACACTTAATTTGTATATGTACCAAGTTTGTTAATTTTCTTTATTTTTTAGGTTCAATAAAGATTCAATGGAATCAAGCAAATGAAACTCAAGCCATTGATACAATAAAATATTGATTGGTTAAGGCCAAAGAAAGTATTTGTAATAAAAATAAGCATGAATTCTTTGAAATAAAGACTCATTATATACACTTATCCTTTAATGTTCAATATTAACATCCTGTATTAGAGTGTCTAGTATATGCCTAGCATATGCTATATTTAAATACTTAGCATATACTTAGAACGTACTATCAAATAATAATAATAATAATAATACTCTCCCTAATTTACCCCCTTACGAGTGAATTTCAACCCCTGAAGTCGACTGAACGACTTGTGTAGGGGAAGGGACGGCTATTATTATTATTTGCCGTGGCGCTCCGGGGCGACTTAAAGATGATTGATGGTGCCATTTGACTTACAGGTGAGGAAAACCCGGAAAACCTCACCCACCATCATCGAGACGGTAATGTATGGCGAATTTTTTTAATCTGTCATATGAACAGAAATTGAATTTCTTTTAATACGCCACACATCAAATCCTAAACCGAACCATGCAATTTAATTAAAAATCCACATGGTCTGGTCTGGGATTCGAAACCCAGCAGTCTCAGACTCATAAACTTGCCTATAAATGAATATAAGCGCGATAGACCGCTACACCACCGTCCCGAAATTAAAGTAGATACCTGTTGCATACTGTACTTCTCAGTACATTCTCAGTATCTGCATAGCACGTATAAATAACGTCACGTAACATATGCTTAGCATATTCTGAGAATGTACCAAATGCAAATAAAGTATATTCTCAGCATATGCGTATTCTTAAAAAGTATATAGTAAGAATATGCTAAGAATGTATAATTGTTATCTGGGTTCATAAAATTTAAGATTAATAAATATTTTTCACGCCATTTGTCACAAAAAAGGGGCTTCTGGTTGATCTTTGTAGACCTTTCCATTTACGAGGTGATAGAATTGATTAATTTTATGCAAAGTTTTTTGAAAGATGTCTTAAATATTTACTCAATTTTGTCAAATGCAACACACTGTATATTATTTCTGCGTAAAATTCCTTATAAATTTACCTATCCAACGATACCAACATGTCCCAATAGTGCGTAATTGATCGATAGCTGTTTTATTATTGGAAATAGGAAAAACAAATTAATATAAAAGTTGTATGACCATGTTTAATAAATGTTCTTAAATATACAGGGTGGTCAATAAACGAGGGACTGACCAAACTTATACATTTTTATATTTAATTGTTTTCACATCGTCAAACAACTTTAATAGAATTAATTTATTTGCTATGTTGTATATAGGGTGTTTCAAAATGAGGGGAAACGATTTTCTCATTTTTTAAATGAAATATCCTATATGTCATACCACCAATTAATTACTACAGTGTATTTCATTTAAAAAATTGAGAAAATCGTAATTTTAGTTTTGGTACGCCTTATATACAACATAGCAAATGAATGACGTCAATTAAAATTGTTTGACGATGTAAAAACAATCAAATATGTATTACTACCTGCAGGGTGTTTTGCTTTAAAAAAAATATAGATTTGGTCAGCACCTCGTTTATGGACCACCCTGTATATTTAATAATATTTGTTAAATATGGTCATACAACTTTTATAATAAACATTTTTTCGTATTTCTAATAATAAAACAGCTTTCGATCAATTATTCATTGACGGGACACCCTGTATATTTGTTATTGACTAACACATTGTTATTGTTACACAAGCAAATTTATAAGGAATTTTATGCCAAGATAATATACAGTGTGTTGCGTTTGAAAAAATTGAGTAAATTGAACTTAAAATTAGCCATATTTAAGACATGTTTCAAATCACTCTGTATAGAATATACCAGTTATATCACCTCTATTCGTTAGCTTAGTATTTTATAAGTCTGTGTATTAAACAATTTTGAAATTAATGTAAACCTACCTAAATTATGATAATATAATTTGGGGTTTGCATTATTCTCTAATTTAAGAAAAAAAAATTGTTTGGTAACACTGTAATATTTTTTAAAAAAGCGTACATTTTTATTTGTCAGGTAAAAACAAAAATATTTTTAAAATATGTATTTTTCAAATTCATATAACTTTTATTTAAACTTTTCTGCTTGTCAATAACACAAATTTAAATATTGAACAATTACGCACTAATGAGACCCTGTATATAAATTCTAATATTCAATTTGTAGGAATATTATTAATTTAGATGACAATGTTTGAGAAACTCTTTGTTTTATTGTATTTATTTTATCTCTCTATTTTTGTTTAATATAACGTTTTAAAAAATATTGATGTTGACTATGGCTTGGGGGGGGGGGTAATTACCCCCCTTATCTACGCCCTTGACTCTAAGTTCGAAAACGCAGACAAATCTCGTCTGGGCATCTATGCGTGCGTATGTATATGTGCCGATAAGTGTACATCTAAAATAAAACGTCCGATCGATTTGTGGATTAAAATCTTACATGATAATTTTTTCCAGCCTAGAACCCTTTTGATTTTTAGAATTTACGGTTAAACTTTAGTGCTTAAAAAATGAGTATTTATATAATGCAATGTATTTAGTATGGAACATATTTTATTTACAACCATATATGTAATGTTGTCATTACTAACGTCATTGAAGGTTGGGAAGTGTCACATTACACACCTCTACTTCCCGCCCTCACTTCCCGCCCTCATTTCACCTATTCTAGATGAATATTTTTTATATTTAAAAAAATAACACTTTTTTTTGACAAATTTTATAATAC